GGCCGGCCCTGCGGGACCCGGAGCTCTGTGGCTGTGGGCACCCCCTTTTACTCTGGAGACCCCCTAAAGCCCAGCAGCACCTCCTCTGGACGTGACTAAGGATTCCTCCCCCTCCCAGGTGCTATTTCTTCACTTACCCCTTTTTGGGATTTTTCCTCCCTGCTCCACATCCAGGGCCTGGAATATTTTGGACCGTGTTCGTGGGTCGCTGGGACTACAGGGCCAGGTAAGGGATTGGGGCAAGGACTCTGGGGTGTGGCAGGCTGGAGTGAGGTCAGGCTGGGAGCCTGGACTCCTGAGTTCTCTCCCCAGCTCAGGGAGGGGAGTGGGGTTTGGTGCAGGGGGGCTGGAAGTCGGGACTCCTGGGTTCTCACCCTGGCTCTGGGAGGGGAGTGGAGACTGATGGGCTGGGAGCTAGGACTCCTGGGTTCTTTCCACTGACCTGCCAAGTGAATGCTGGTTATTCCCTGGTTTTGCCAGCTATCTCACCTAGAAAACGTGGTGGGGGTAGGGTGTGTGGGGGTCCCTGCTCCCCCGGCTGTCTAATGTGCTGGGTGCTACCCTTGGCAGAAGCCCCCCCCCCAAAAAAAACCACTTTTGGGGGGTGTAGTCTGACTCCCTGGGGCGGGGCAGCAAAGAAAGGGCTGGGGGCCAGAGACCAGAGTGTGGGGAGCTCTCTGCCTGGGGGGTGGGCAGAGTGGGGAGGGGTGGTGGGAAGGGGCTGATCCTGCCTGCCAAGTGGGTGTAGGGAGCTGTTTGCCAGCGGGGTGTGTGTGGGATTAGACCAGATCATACCTGTCCATCTTGCTAAGCAGCTGTAGCAGGCCTCTGTGTGTAAGGGGGGGTGGCCTGGGAAGCGCAGGGTTAAATGCTAAAGCCAATTAATAACACACATCACCCTGTGCTGGGAATGTGGCTACTCCCAGGACCTGCCCCTCTTGGAGGAAGCTGGGGACCTGCCTTGGGATGAGAGGAGTAGAAGGGGAACATGGGGTGGATTGGTGGAGAGTCAGATAGAAGGGGAGGGATGGATGCATGGGCCTGAGGTCACACCCTTCCTACCTCCCACACCCTACAGAAGCCCAAAGAGCCCCTCCCCCCACTGCAGCCCCTGGCCCCAGCACCAGCTGCCCCAAGTCCCTGTGGGAGGCATGCCAGCCAGCTCCCTGGGAACAGCAGGAGGGACTTTGGCTTTGGGCGGGGCCATGGTAGGCTATTTGGGGAGGTACAGCCTCTCCCGCCCACATGGAAGCATGGGGCAGGGCTAGAAGAAGGGAAGGGGGCCCGGCAGATCTGTCCTTTGGGATCCGTTGCACAGAAAGGTGCCTGGGGAAGAAACACTGCAGGGACCAGCTCTGTCCTCTCTCTGCCCCTTGGCTCTGTCCATCCATCTCACTGCAGGCTGTATCCACCCTCCTGCCTCATGGCTCTCTCCAGTTTGCAGGGCTGGGTCTTGTGGTCCGCCCAAATGCCAAGGAGAACCCTGCGTAGGGTGTGCACAGCCTGCCAGCCCCAGAAGGCTTGCGTGACCCATCCACATGGCTGACTCCATGGCTGGGCCCCACACAGAGTGCACAGCCAGACCGGAGCTTCAGCCCTTACCCTGGAGCTGTCCTGCTGTCTCCAAAGTGGGGCAAATCGCTGGTCCTTTGTTACTGTGGGTTTCCCTAAGGGCACTGGGCTGTGTGGTCAGGAGTGTTATTGTGGGGTCTCTAGGGGCGCTGCGGCTGCGTAGTTGAGTGTGTTATTGCAGGGATTCTGGGGGTGCTGAACCCCTCTCCATGAGTTGTACCCCGCAAACCTGCATTGCTCCGCCCTTTGTGGTGGGGTGAGGTTATGCTAGCCATGGAGATCATAGATGCCCCCTGTGTAGCCTCTGCTCCCATTGACTTTCAGAGCAGCAGTGTGGGAGGCATCATCAGCCAATCAGCTACTGTACCATTGTGGAGGTGGTATGCCATCTGTGTGTGTGTGTGTGGGGGGGCCCTCTGCATGGACTGTAGTCTGCCGTGTGTGTGTGTGTGTGTGTGTGTGTCCAGGGCTAGTTTGGTACCGGTCCACTTCTGTGCTGATTCCCAGCAGGCATGGGTGTGCCAGCCCCTCACAAGGCACTGGCAGCTCCATAGCTCATGCCGGAGGCCCCTAGAGTGTGGGCCAACACAGCACCTCTCACATGTGCACATGGGAGAAGGTGTGATTGTGGGTCGCTGACATGCTGTGTTGCCACTGCTTACACACGTGTGCTTCTGTAGTGCATATTGGTTTTTGTGGGTGATTGTGTACCACATGTACGCAAGGTTACACATTTTTCTCCAGGAGTCACTGCAGAGGTTTGCTCGGATTTGCAAGGCCTATAAGAAATGTTGTCAGGTAGTTAACAAACCCTGATCGTGTGACTTGGATCTAGGTGGACTTTTTTTTTCTGAATAGTACATTCCCCTACTCCAAAATGCAATGTTTTGGCTCTGTCAAATGATTCATGAATTGCGGCTAAATAGTCTGGCTAAATAGTTTTGATAGAAGAAAAACTGGAATTTTGTATTTTAACAGTACAAATGGGTTGTTGTGGCCATTTGGAAATGACTTATCACAAAATGGCATCTGGCATATTTAGCATTTCTAAAACCAACAAGAGGGACAAAAAGTCCCTGAAAAAGATGCAAAACTAAATGAAAACCCCAAAGAAACTTTGCTGTGGCAAGGAAAATGAACAAATTCAGTTTGTTTGAACCAAAAAGCTTTCTTTTCCCCCAATTCCACTCCTGACCAAAAAATCAACCAGATCAGCGCGGCTCTGAACTGACTTGGTATTTTAAATCAGGGACAGCTGCTATACTGTGCATCCCTTTCCTTGGCCAGGTTGTAACCCATGTAAGATCAGTGAACAACTTGTACTTGGCAATGCTGTTGATTGGGAATTTCCTCTTGGGTTTGCATTGCATTTCGATTAATTTCTCTGGCTCTGTCTATCAGACCGCTGAGGTGGTCATCTGCCCAGCTCCTACCAGTGCGTCTACATGCTAGCATGTCATCAGCCTGGCACTGGTGCCAGCCAGTTCTGGTAACACATCTGGGCGTGTCATTCCAGTGCAGGCCTGGTCCCAAAGGGCATTCTTCATTAGCTGTCCTTGCCTACTGTGTCCAGAAGATGGGGAGTAGCCTCATCCAAAACCATCTTTGGCACTGAGCAAGGAATATCTTTGCTTTTGCCAATCAGGGAATATTTCATCCCCCGGGTAGCATCCACTGGAGGACTCCTTTCGGTGCTTGGGTTCGGTTATTTCAGCCTATGCTGCTTGCTTGTCATCTCTACGTCTGCCCTGCTTCGTACCTCGTGTGGCTGCTGCGATTGGACAAGCAATCCCTCCTTTTCCCATCCATTTCATTACTCCTATAACTCCGTGCCTCCATGCAATGGGTCATCGTGAGGTAAGCATTGGAATGGCCACACTGGGTCAGAACAAAGGTCCATCCAGCCTACTGTCCTGTCTTCTGACAGTGGCCAGTGCCAGGTGCCCCAGAGGGAATGAACAGAACAGGGATCATCGAGTGATCCATCCTGTCGCCCATTCCCAACTTCTGGCCATCAGAGGCAAATGACAGCCGGAGTAAGGGGTTATGTATGTGACCATCTTGGCTAAAAGCCATTAATGGACCTACCCTCCATGAACTTATCTAGATCTTTTATGAGCCCAGTTGTACTTTTGTCCTTCACCACATTCCCTGGCAAACAGTTTCAGAGGTTGACTGTGTGTTGGCTGGAGAAATATTTCCTTTGGTTTGTTTTAAACCTGCTGCCTGTTAATTTCATTTGGGGACCCCTAGTTCTTGTGTTATGGGAAGGAGCATATAACACTTCCTTATTTACTTTCTCCACACCGGTCTTGATTTTATGGATCTCTATCATATCCCCTCTTAGTTGCCTCTTTTTTGAGCCAAAAAGTCCCAGTCTTATTAATCTGATGTGATTTTTCCGGGGACTGAGGTAAGGCTGACCAGTATGTAGCTCCCTGGATTGTCCTTCTTCCTTTTTTTTTTTTTTTTTTAAAGATGGGGTGGCCACAGCTGCATGCAGTATTCAAGATGTGGATGTATGGATTTATATAGAGGCAATATGATGTTTTCTGTCTTATCTATTCCCTTCCTTACGATTCCCAACATCATGTTAGCGTTTTTGATTGCCACTGCACAGTGAGTGGATGTTTTCACACAACTGTCCTCTGACTCCAAGAGCTCTTGAGTGAAAACAGCTAATTTAGCCCCCCAGCATTTCATAGGTAGAGTTGGGACTTAGATTTCCTACGTGTGTTACTATCAACATTGAATTTCATCTGCCGCTGTGTTGCCCGGTCACCCAGTTTAGTGAAATCCCTTTGTAACTTTTGGCAATCCACTTTGGACTTCAGTAGCTTGAGTAATCTGCAAACTTGACCACTTCACTGTTGTTCTGTTTTCTGGAACATGTATGAATATGTCGGACAGTCCCAGTCCAAACCCCAGGAGGACATCATTTACCTCTCTCCCTTCTGAAAACTGGCTCTTTGTTTCTACCCTTTCTTTCCTGTCTTTCACCTAGTCACTGGTCCATGAGAGAACCGTCCCTCTTATCCCACAACAGCTTACTATGGTTAAGAGCCTTTGGTGAGGGACTTGGTCAAAGGTTTTCTGGAAATTTAAGCACACTTTACCCACTGGATCCCTCTTGTCCACATGCTTGTTGACCCCCCTCAAATAACTCTAGTAGATTATCGAGGCATGATTTACAAAAAACGTGTTGACTCTTCCCCCAACAAATTGTGTTCATTCATGTGTCTGATAGTTCTGTTCTTTACTATCGTTTCAATCATGTCCCTGGTCCTAGAGTCAGCCTTCTTGGCCTGTTAAGTGCCAGGCGCCTGCCTGGCTGATCCCTTTGTTCTGTTTCCAGATGAATCGTGTCTGGTAGGTATCACAGGGTTTGAATATGTGGGATGATCTTTTAGCAGCTTTGTGGCAGGAAACCATGGTACCTCGTTGGCTCTGGATGTGTCTTTGGGTCCCACTGATGTGTGTGTTTGTGTGAATTTGGCCCAGGTGTAAAAGTTGCTTTTTTGAGCTGTGAGCTGTGGTATTTGCTATCTGCTATTTCAGCTGGGATATTTTCCCATGCAGTGTGCTTTGTTGCAGTGGCATTAGGATCACACTGTTGCACTGTTTTCTTTTAGCGTTGGTTGTGATTTCATTTTT